GTTCTGTTGAGAATGATTTAGGAGTAGGAAGAAGTAGTGGTGAATTGACTGGGAAGAAGGATAGGTGATGAAGATGCGAAGAAGATAAGATGTGAGGAAGTGAGATAGTGGGTCCAGGGGCCTGTGGCGCAATGGATAACGCGCCTGACTACGGATCAGGAGATTCCAGGTTCGAATCCTGGCAGGCTCGATTACACTTTTCAACTAGTCGTGTCGCAAATACACTCTCATCACACAACCATCTCCCACATTCTCCGCTCCACCTCACCTCTACATCACCAACGTCATAGGGAATTCACGCGACCGAACACACTGGTAGTGCATCGAGGATAGCTGACCACAGATGCATTCAAAGTGAACATCCACGTCGTCGTCGTCGTCGTCGTCGTCGTGGTCACGTGTTTTCTCTTCCTTCTACTGGTCGATTGCATTGTGAAAACCTCCACATGTGACCGGAAGAACGGACACAATGCACGGAATGAGAGATCGACAATTCCTTCTCTTACATACTTATCATCATATAAGTAAGTGAAATGCAACGCCATTATTCATCATTATTAATAATAGATCTCAGTACAGTTGGAAAATGACAATGTGTCGGTGAGAAACTAACACAAAATTCAAGAGAAGCTATTCAAATTTGAATATATACTGAAGTCGAAATGAATAAGTTATCTTGTTGCAATTGTGCAATTCTGAGGACTGCCAACAATGACGGATCATCTGAACTCGCTGCACATCAATAATCATGCTGCATTATGAATATGATTATGTTTCTGATGATCTGATCCTGCATCTTTCAATTACTTAGTTAATCACTCACTCACTCACTCACTCACTCACTCAATCTACATTATTTCTCTTAGTCAATTGTGAAATTACAATGTAGTGATGGTGAAACACTACCACTCGACTTGTAACGATCTCATTTTCCAACATTTAAATATTAATGTGAATACATGCAAGAGAAGGAAATGTGAGACAATTATAGGATGGAACGAATAAACTAGTAGGGAAATATAGTAAACGAGAGTTAGAGAGAGGCAAGCCAATGACTGAAATTCAACAAGAGTGGAACGGGTGGTTAGAGCATTTTTGAACAACTCTTGCAATAGACCAGTCCCAATGATGAAGCCACCAAACATCGAAGCAACACACTCACACATTCGTATACCTGTCACTGGTTGGAACAATGATGGAGGAAATCAGTATGATGATGAGACAAATGAAGAGTGGGAGAACAACACCAGTATCTACCGACAGACCGGTCGACCGAATGTCCGACTGAATGTCCGACTGAATGTCCGACCGATTGTCCGACCGACATGACAACATACCAGTTGAATGAGTGAAGTGAGACATAAGAGTAAGTGCAAAGATGGTAGAGGTTCTGTTGAGAATGATTTAGGAGTAGGAAGAAGTAGTGGTGAATTGACTGGGAAGAAGGATAGGTGATGAAGATGCGAAGAAGATAAGATGTGAGGAAGTGAGATAGTGGGTCCAGGGGCCTGTGGCGCAATGGATAACGCGCCTGACTACGGATCAGGAGATTCCAGGTTCGAATCCTGGCAGGCTCGATTACACTTTTCAACTAGTCGTGTCGCAAATACACTCTCATCACACAACCATCTCCCACATTCTCCGCTCCACCTCACCTCTACATCACCAACGTCATAGGGAATTCACGCGACCGAACACACTGGTAGTGCATCGAGGATAGCTGACCACAGATGCATTCAAAGTGAACATCCACGTCGTCGTCGTCGTCGTCGTCGTCGTGGTCACGTGTTTTCTCTTCCTTCTACTGGTCGATTGCATTGTGAAAACCTCCACATGTGACCGGAAGAACGGACACAATGCACGGAATGAGAGATCGACAATTCCTTCTCTTACATACTTATCATCATATAAGTAAGTGAAATGCAACGCCATTATTCATCATTATTAATAATAGATCTCAGTACAGTTGGAAAATGACAATGTGTCGGTGAGAAACTAACACAAAATTCATGAGAAGCTATTCAAATTTGAATATATACTGAAGTCGAAATGAATAAGTTATCTTGTTGCAATTGTGCAATTCTGAGGACTGCCAACAATGACGGATCATCTGAACTCGCTGCACATCAATAATCATGCTGCATTATGAATATGATTATGTTTCTGATGATCTGATCCTGCATCTTTCAATTACTTAGTTAATCACTCACTCACTCACTCACTCACTCACTCAATCTACATTATTTCTCTTAGTCAATTGTGAAATTACAATGTAGTGATGGTGAAACACTACCACTCGACTTGTAACGATCTCATTTTCCAACATTTAAATATTAATGTGAATACATGCAAGAGAAGGAAATGTGAGACAATTATAGGATGGAACGAATAAACTAGTAGGGAAATATAGTAAACGAGAGTTAGAGAGAGGCAAGCCAATGACTGAAATTCAACAAGAGTGGAACGGGTGGTTAGAGCATTTTTGAACAACTCTTGCAATAGACCAGTCCCAATGATGAAGCCACCAAACATCGAAGCAACACACTCACACATTCGTATACCTGTCACTGGTTGGAACAATGATGGAGGAAATCAGTATGATGATGAGACAAATGAAGAGTGGGAGAACAACACCAGTATCTACCGACAGACCGGTCGACCGAATGTCCGACTGAATGTCCGACTGAATGTCCGACCGATTGTCCGACCGACATGACAACATACCAGTTGAATGAGTGAAGTGAGACATAAGAGTAAGTGCAAAGATGGTAGAGGTTCTGTTGAGAATGATTTAGGAGTAGGAAGAAGTAGTGGTGAATTGACTGGGAAGAAGGATAGGTGATGAAGATGCGAAGAAGATAAGATGTGAGGAAGTGAGATAGTGGGTCCAGGGGCCTGTTGCGCAATGGATAACGCGCCTGACTACGGATCAGGAGATTCCAGGTTCGAATCCTGGCAGGCTCGATTACACTTTTCAACTAGTCGTGTCGCAAATACACTCTCATCACACAACCATCTCCCACATTCTCCGCTCCACCTCACCTCTACATCACCAACGTCATAGGGAATTCACGCGACCGAACACACTGGTAGTGCATCGAGGATAGCTGACCACAGATGCATTCAAAGTGAACATCCACGTCGTCGTCGTCGTCGTCGTCGTCGTGGTCACGTGTTTTCTCTTCCTTCTACTGGTCGATTGCATTGTGAAAACCTCCACATGTGACCGGAAGAACGGACACAATGCACGGAATGAGAGATCGACAATTCCTTCTCTTACATACTTATCATCATATAAGTAAGTGAAATGCAACGCCATTATTCATCATTATTAATAATAGATCTCAGTACAGTTGGAAAATGACAATGTGTCGGTGAGAAACTAACACAAAATTCAAGAGAAGCTATTCAAATTTGAATATATACTGAAGTCGAAATGAATAAGTTATCTTGTTGCAATTGTGCAATTCTGAGGACTGCCAACAATGACGGATCATCTGAACTCGCTGCACATCAATAATCATGCTGCATTATGAATATGATTATGTTTCTGATGATCTGATCCTGCATCTTTCAATTACTTAGTTAATCACTCACTCACTCACTCACTCACTCACTCAATCTACATTATTTCTCTTAGTCAATTGTGAAATTACAATGTAGTGATGGTGAAACTCTTCCATTCCATTTGTGACGTTGTACAAATTTACAATTATGTTATCGATTAAAATTTAGTGATAATAATATAGGCTACTGACTATTAATAAGTATTATGTTGTAATACATGAAATAATTACAAACTAAAGAATAGATATGAATTAAGAAATGACTGTCGGAATTCGTAAACTTCGATGACTGAGAAAATGTATGTGATAGTTGGTGTTTTTTGCAGTGCAACTAGTGTCATGTGGAAATAAGTGATTTTTCACGATGTTTGCATGTATTTTGATGTCTCACTTAACTCTTTGAACTCATCTGTTTTTATATAGGACAATTGATTCATAATCAACTGATAAAATTATGTATATCTATTTCAAGTCGTTTTTTCCTTTTACATTTACCTATCTCTTTCGTTTAATTACCCGAATGAATTTTTTTTTTAACATATTCTTTTTTTAATCTTTTCAGTAATGTGATTGTTTATACTCGCCTATGGTAGGAGAATTTTTTTTTGCCTTGATAAATTACTACTGTTTTCTTGTTAGTAGTGTAAACTAGTAACTGAAATAAATGGATGATAAATGGATTATTTCATTTGTAAATAAATGGTTATTTATTTTGAACAATAATTCAATAGGCACTTTCTACCAATTATGAGAAAAACTTGTTTTCTATCCGTGTTATGATAAATAAATTTTATAATGAATCTAAATTTAAGATACAATCTGCAGAACAGTTCCCTTCTCACCTTTTGATTTGTAGCGACACTAAATGTAGTGAATGATGACACAATTGAGGACAACCGAATGTATTTCATTAGAAAATTACAGAATCTCTTGGTAAAATCTGACAATCATACAGTAAATACTCTTGATATTATTTAGTTGAATCTTTCTATTGATGTTTAGGACTACAATTGATCAGTCTCTTATTGACCATATGTACATACTGTGCGTGTTGCCTCGACATAGCCTTAATTCACAAGCATGGTAAGCAAAGATGGATAGTAGCTAGCATAATATTTATTTTATAGACTATTAATATTCATGAGAAACCATAATAGAATAAAAGAAAAACAATTAGACGAGGGTACTTTTCTCTTTTTCCTTTTTTTCTCTTTTTTTTCTTTTCTTTTCTCTTTATTTCTTTTTTCTTCTTTTTTTTTAAATTAATTTTCTTTTATTTTTGTTGTTTATTTATTTAGGTTTGTTTTGTTTAAATAGGTGATAAACGTCTTACCAAGTAATATAAATCGTATAGTAATAGACCATGTTAATGCATAATTTAAATACCGATAGAAGATGGTATATTTTAAAAATTCTGGATATGGTGATGTATTCCATAGAAGTATTCCAGTTTCTAGGCTGAATATATATTTTTTGTTTTTTTTATTGATTGTTTGTGGGGGTAGGTGCGTGTTTATGTGGGGATGAGGGAGGTGTTTATGTGTTAAAATATAATGTTAGTTATGTGATAAAAAAAAGAGAAAAAAAGAAAAGAAAAGAAAGGGGGCATTATATATATGTATCTATATACTAAATATTTAAGTTAAGAGAAATTTACTTTAATCAAAATGGATTACGTAATGATTCTTTAGGTTAAATGAACGGAAACAATAAAAAGAATCATTCATGGTTTCCTTTCCCCCCCCATTTTATTTCATTATGGAATTATGTAATTTATTGTAATATAGATGAGTACTTGAAAATTCATACTTAGGTGATTTTGGTATAAACTGTTCTAGACATATGATGATGATGATGATGATGATGATTTGGATGATGATGATGATTTGGATGATGATGATGATTCGGATGATGATGATGATGATTCGGATGATGATGATGATGATGATTCGGATGATGATGATGATTCGGATGATGATGATGATGATGATGATGATGATGATGATGATGATGATGATGATGATGATGATGATGATGATGATGATGATGATGATGATGATGATGATGATGATGATGATGATGATGATGATGATGATGATGATTCGGATGATGATGATGATGATGATGATGATGATGATGATGATGATGATGATGATGATTTGGATGATGATGATGATGATGATGATGATGATGATGATGATGATGATGATGATGATGATGATGATGATGATGATGATGATGATGATGATTCGGATGATGATGATGATTCGGATGATGATGATGATGATGATGATGATGATGATGATGATGATGATGATGATGATGATGATGATGATGATGATTCGGATGATGATGATGATTCGGATGATGATGATGATGATGGTGAGGATGATGATGATGATAATGATGATGATGACGACGACGACGACGGTGATGATGGTGATGGTAATGATGATTGAGAAGATGGGGTTACCATTTTTTGTGATCACATTAGGATCAACCAAGTAAAATTAAACTCAAATGCTTTGCTTATTCTATTTCATAATAATGTGAATAAATTCTTTGGGTTTGATAAACTTTTCTTCGGAAGAACGGATGAAATATAAATTTCATGATTTCTTTTTGTTGTTGTTTAACATTTCAATATCTATACTTTGGTAGTAATTAGTCAATCATGTCTAAAGGAAATTTCATTCGGAACTCTATTCTTGAGAATAATTAGATTATGTTTTATGCACTATGTCGATCCCGTGTCATCAAGCTTTACAGTCAGAGACGTTAACACTGAACTAAGTGACACGGGATCGAATCCATCATGGAGCAACATTTCCCTCAAGATTACAGGTACAGATTGTTGACGAGTGTCAAGTAGTACGAAAGTCGAGTCCAGGAGTTCATGTTGACCACCTCCAACCACCATCTTATGTTCTATAGATTTTAACTTGCAAACTATGAAGCGAATGGAATTCACTTATAATATTCATTCTTTCTTTACTTTAAAGAAGTTTATTAGGAGTACCATTTGAATTAGATATTTTGTTTTTTAATTATTCATTGAATTCACATTAGTGTGTGATATTTAATTTTCAAGTTTCATATAAGTAGTTTGCTTGAAAGCAAAACAAATCAACTTGATAATGCATCAGCTTCATATATTTTCATAGTTGAAATCATGAGTCAATTGAAGCTAGACCACCATGTAAAACTTGGAAGAACTGAACCGTCGTTTCGTCTTATTGTGGGACTCCTCAGCAGTGCATATCCACGATCCCGCTTCGCGAGATTCGAACTGAAGACCTATAGATCTCGCGCGTGAACGCTTAACATCTAGACAACTGAGCCGGCATCTAACGGTGTTAGTGTCTAACTTCAATTAATCCACGAAGTTGAGCAACCATTTCACCAATTGTCTTCAGTGAGTTGATATCTCACAACAGACATGCTTGAACTCCACTGATCACTGCTTCTCACTAGAATTCCAGGAAATACCTCAAGGATCTAATCACTAGTGAGTAAATGAGGAGTTCCACAATAAGACGAAACGGTCATTCAGTGCTTTCAAGTTTTCTATGGTGATCTAGCTTCAATTGACTTAGGATTTCAACTATTAACTATCTATAAATGACTTTAATAAATGATTAAACTATTGACCTTATTCAATTAATTTTTATTCATAATATATTATGACAATGAAATAGGAGAAGTAATAGTAACCTACTTTTTGAAAGAAACGGGAAAAGAGGGAAAAATGAGAAGATTAAAGTAAACTGAACTCTTTGAAGTATAGTTTGTCATTTAATATTCTCTTATAATTGTGTATCCTTTGATTGTTTTTTTTTCTTTTTTTCCTTTTGCCTTTTTATGGTTTCCTTCCGAGTTAGTTGCTCGAGTTGCCATACCTCATCTCTGTGCTAATGTGGTATGGCAACTCGAACTGATGTACGTACGTACGAAGTTCTACATTGTAACTGACTGACTGACTGAGTTGCTCATTATGATTATCTTTATAGTTCAAGTGAATATTAAGGAGCTATGATAAGTAAAGTTCATTTCAGGCTGATGATTACTTACTTACTTACTTACGCCTGTTATTCCCAATGAAGCATAGGCCACCGACCAGCATTCTATAACCCACTCTGTTCTACGCCTTCCTTTCTAGTTCTATCCAGTTGTTGTTCATTCTTCTCATGTCTGTCTCCATTTCTCAGCGTAATATGTTCTTTGGTTTTCCTCTTCTCCTTTGACCTTCAGGATTCCATGAGAGGTCTGACTTGTAACGCAGTTCGGTGATTTCCTCAATGTGTATCCTATCCACTTCCAGCACTTCTTCCTGATTTCTTCCTCCACTGTATGGGATATGTGTTGTATCCCCTGGCGAATTATGAATCATAAATCTGATGTCCATTTATGGACAAATGTAATACGCCTATTCCTATTGGATAGTTGTTAAATGAGTAACCTAAATCTGATGTCTATTTATGGACAAATGTAATACGCCTATTCCTATTGGATAGTTGTTAAATAAGTGACCTAATCGTTTCCGTGTTCCTCTTATCACAACCTTTGTTTTGACCTTGGAACTATTATTATTGATTACTTTCCCCCTAGCTACAGCCACATTGGCCAATTACTGTACAAATGTTATTTTTCTATTTTTTGGTATAATTGGGTCTGTTTGGTTAGTATATATAACCCAGTGTGCTTGTGAATAATGATTCATATTTCCGAGGCTGTTATTTGTGTTCTGGACTCAACTGGCTGGGCTAGGCAGTTAGGAAGGACCGAATAGCAATCAAGACTGCTCGTACGTATTTTCTGTATCATTGCACGTTTCATATACAATAACGATTGTTATACGAGTCATAACAATTGGCGACGGGGATTCTGAAAAAAAAATACAGCAGCCGCTGACGTCATTTTGGAATTAAATAATCCATAATAATTGCCGGTGTTTTTTTTTGGATTATTATTATTATTTGCATTAAAAAAATGGCTTTAACTTGCGACCAATTTCAGTTGCTAATCCAGCGACAAGAGCAGCGCTTCAGAAAGAGTCAATTGGATTTCATTGACAAATTACACGCGAAACTGCTGAATCACCCATGCTTTGGGGGTGAAACGGAAGTTGACGCAATAATTTCAAAATTGCGTACAGAGCTGGAAAACAATTACAGAACTAATGAATATGCCGGCGAAAGCCTCAATGAATCCATACAAAGCAATAATTTAAGCACAGCAGTTATACATGATCAGCCCAGTAACCCAGTACTACCTGTTTCAGAGACATGCCCTGTACACGGTCCAAGTCTTATTAATCCCGAAAACGGACGTGCAAACAATGAATTATCCTATTCACAGAAAGTAAATGTCTTGCAAAATGCTCATGAAATTGCTGCAGTACCCGCCCACGAAGAAACGGGAAACAAATCGAGCAGTATATGGAATACAGTGGCACCAAATGAAATTAATCATGATACGGAAAATGTTTCTAATGAATCTAATGATCAAAATTCTGTAATTGTTCTACCAGATTTAGATTATTTTGATGATTCATATGTTTCTGTTGAATTCTCTTATAAAAATGAGAGAAAAATGTCAGATGTATGTAATGATAATCAAGAATCCAATACAACTCTCATAGATACTGATTATCCTAATGATTCATTATCTACTAATGAGGTTCCGAGGAAATTCAAGAAAACTATTTCAGAAGAATCAAATGTTGGTGACCTCGAATCAAATGTCGTCGATCCTCATGATCTCTTCAGTTCTGATGCATTCCCTGTTAAAGGTGACAAACATATCGCATTAATAGTAACTTGGCTATATGAGGATCCAACAGTCTTTCGTGGGGGAGGGTGAATTCGAGGAAATTAAAAGTCCGGATATCAACTCCGGATTTCTCAAAAAGGGGAGGTGTTGTATCCCCTGGCGAATTATGAATCATAAATCTGATGTCCATTTATGGACAAATGTAATACGCCTATTCCTATTGGATAGTTGTTAAATGAGTAACCTAAATCTGATGTCTATTTATGGACAAATGTAATACGCCTATTCCTATTGGATAGTTGTTAAATAAGTGACCTAATCGTTTCCGTGTTCCTCTTATCACAACCTTTGTTTTGACCTTGGAACTATTATTATTGATTACTTTCCCCCTAGCTACAGCCACATTGGCCAATTACTGTACAAATGTTATTTTTCTATTTTTTGGTATAATTGGGTCTGTTTGGTTAGTATATATAACCCAGTGTGCTTGTGAATAATGATTCATATTTCCGAGGCTGTTATTTGTGTTCTGGACTCAACTGGCTGGGCTAGGCAGTTAGGAAGGACCGAATAGCAATCAAGACTGCTCGTACGTATTTTCTGTATCATTGCACGTTTCATATACAATAACGATTGTTATACGAGTCATAACAATATGGTTTGTTCTCTGCCATAGTAGAATGTTGCTGATAGTTTCTGGCCAACGAATCCGAAGTATCTTGTGTAGACAACTATTGATAAACACTTGTATCTTCTGGATGATGGTTTTCGTAGTTCTCCAAGTTTCCACCCTATACAGTAGAACTGTCTTGACATTTGTTTTGAAAATGCTGATCTTGGTGTTGGTTGACAGACAATTGTTTTGAGTTCCAGATGTTCTTCAGTTGTAAATATGCTACTCTTGCTTTGCCGATCCGCGCCCTCACATCTGCATCAGATCCACCGTGTTCATCGATGATGCTGCCAAGATATGTAAAGGTTTTCACATTCTCCAAAGCTTCTCTGTCAAGTGTAATTCGATTAGTGCATGCTGTATTGTATCGAAGAGTCTTGCTTTTCCCTTTGTTTATATTGAGACCCACTGCTGATGAGGCTGCTGCTACACTGGTCGTTTTCTCCTGCATTTATTGTTGCGTATGCGCAGCTGATGGTTAGATATACATTCATGATGGATTTGAATAATAAACTTGTTATAGCATAGATTGATTCTAATTGGATGTGTACAGCACTGAAATTCAACTAAGTCTTAGGTCCCATTGCAGAGAACAGAATACGGGTGGAGACGATCGCATGTAGTTGAGCACAAAATTACAGAATAGCTCACTAAAATTTGACAATCATACAGCAAAACAGTTAATTTGCAAACTGTCAATGAATTGTCTCAATCTTGACTATTCCTTCTGTAAATATCAGTCCATGGTCTCTGATTTCATGATTCACGCATTTTTATACTAATCGCATTCCAATTCGGTTCTTTCTTTATCAATCTTCTACTGAAATACATTCTATGTATGACCATCGTTATATACTACTTATATGGATATAAGTGACCCATACCACACCATCACTGATGCAGCTATCATGGTGTATTACTCAACACAGAAAGAAATTATCAACAGTGAAGCTTGGAAAGTAGAGATAGTAATACAGTATGGTGATTCAATTGACGTTTATCGTTTGATAGACAAACACTTGTAAATATGTAACCTTATTGACTCGTAGTTATTGGACATATAATATACTATAATAATAATATCTTGATTTGCTGCATTTTTCGATTACCGCTCAATTGTTGCTTTATTCAGTAATATTCGTAATTATAAGCAAAAATTGATGGTCATTAACATTGAAATCCAATTTGACACGCGTTTCGTCCTACTTCGAACTCGTCAGTTGAATGTACATGCATCTCAGAGTTGATATTCATTCCAAGACTCGAACCCAGAAACTTTCTTTTCAAACACCATCAAGTTATCCATTCAGCTACTGAGTTCTGATAGCCTTTAGCTTGTACAATAGAGTAAAGTTTAAATGCATTCATAACTATAATCCAGTTCAATAGTACATTAGATAGATAGATAGATCATATACAATAGAACTATCATTCTATATGAACATATTGAACAAAATGAACTTACTATAGATTATAAATGATTCCAATGAAACCAACAATCTTCAATGTATTATAAAATGATACTATTTTTGGATGACATAACCAAGCATCAATGATCAAAGTAATTGGGGGGATTATATGCTTTTTATAAAGAATAAAAGAAAATAATGATCAATTTATAATATGATCATACATTTGAGTAACTCAAAACTACATTTAATAGTTGAGCTTATGAATCAATTGAAGCTAGATCACCATGGAAAACTTGGAAACATTGAACAGCCGTTTCGTTCTATTATGGGACTCTTCAGCAGTTGTCATAACCTACTTGCATGATGTATTGTCAATACAGTTTCCTATCTATCAACGGTACGTAATCACTGTGATTGACAGGCATCGATCAGCACAATGAATAACCAACTTTACATTAGTTGTTGCTAACTGATGAAATATTGAAAAGAACTTAATCATATAGGAAGGACGAGAGTATCGACGTAACATTTGCTTGTTTATTTTTCAATCAATATGTGGTGTTAATGAGTAATGTTATTCATAGTAAAGAAACTCAGTTTAAGTCAGAAGTACACTTTCAAGAAACTAGAAATAATCAGTAAAAGGGTTGTGGCTTCAAGATGAATCTCCTGGAGTTTTCGTGAGAAGCCATGACCAGTGAAGTTCATTTGTCTCTATTGTGAGGCAGTTACTTAGTGAAGACCATGGTGGACGGTGGCGCCATATCGTGGATCGGTTAAAGTTAAACATTAATATCGTTGGATGACGTCTAGCTTAGTGGTTTAGAGGTTAAGCGTGAGTGACCGAAGGTTCTACGTTCGAATCTCGCGATCGGGGTCGTAGATGCATACTGCTTAGGAGTTCCATACTAGGACGAGTCTAGAAACTGACAAACAGTTTATGAAAACTACTGTATTAGCTTAAGGGTTATTTTTTTAAATAAAACCCTTAAACTAACAACAGGATAGTTAGTGATCTCATTCGAATAAATAATAATTTAAATATGTATGACCATTACCTTGGAGAAAATCGAATTGTTATATCTAGAACTTTGATTCTTACTATGCCGCGTACTGCTGACTACTTGAACGATAGAACCCGCAACGTTGCAAGAGAGAAAACAGAAGACTAGTAAGTAGGAACTTTATTCCCCAAAACAGTGTCAAAATATAGTACAGAAATCTCATATATTTAAAGTTTTTGACTGAGAGTAAATCATTATTTCAGACAACCAATAGGCACATGGGGGTCATTCTTATCCATCCAATGGGGAAGCTACACGTTGACATTCTAGAATATTCCACTGACAGTTATTGGATGGAATGTCTTCGGCTCTTCCTGACCTTCTTGAGGCTTCCTAGAGTTTACCAACGAGCCATCCCTACACGAATAAAGAACACTTAGATCTCCAAGTAATACCCTAATGTCAATGAATATGTAGTCGATTACTTTTCATTTACAAATTCCGTTATTTAGCCATATAGTACATTACGTACCCAACTTCACCGGGTAATTTATTCATAGTTCTTTCAACCCCCATTGGTATAACATTCAACCTGAAAAAGTAGGCTTGAAGTTAGTTCATAATTGCAGTGAAACTTTAACGACTATGTTTATTCTCAATATTTTTTATTGATGAATAAGTGTGTTATGCCGGAGATGTTTTACAGAATTTCGGTTCTTCATTGGATAAGTGTTGTATTTTTCAGTACACATTTCACAAGAAATACATTAAACTTGACAATTTTGGATTTATCAGAAGGGGGTTTTGTGGAGATTTCAGTAGTTTTATATAGTTGAGATGATGAATCAATTGATGTAAGCTAGACCATTATGAAAACCTGGAAGCACTAGACGGCCATTTCTACCTAGTATGGGACTCCTCAGCAGTGCACACACACGATCCCAATCAGAGGATTCGAACCCAGAGCCTTCAGTTTCGTGCACGAGCGCTTAATCTCTAGACGTCTGAGCTGGCTGTGTTAATATCTAACTTCAACCAATCCACGAAATTGTATTACCATATTCCATTTTACTGAGGTAGATACCTGTCTCTGTCTGACATAGATTACCTTCCAGGTTTTCACTGATGATCTAACATCAATCAATTTATAATTTCAATCAAAAACTTAACAATCTCTACAACTCTATACTGATCATTACAACTGTCACCTTTTCACTACTATCTTGAATAAGCTCCAACAGCAATGTAGTAGTAGTAGTAGTAAAAATTATTTATTTGGACTCGTCAGCTTCATGTACCTGCATCTCAAACTCGTTGATGTTCACTCTGGAACTCGAACTCAGTACCGTTTCTTTCAAACACCATCGTGTTATCTACTTAGCTATTGAGTCCTTATAAACGTTTAATACTACTTAGTAATCAATGAAAAATAGAAAAATAAAACAGAACTAATATTAACACTTACACATAAATGATTGTACCATAATGGCAGATTTATTAAATCTTCAATGTCACTAATGATCTTGGGATCATAGAAAAATGCACCCCAGTAGTAAAGCATCATTGTCTATAAAGAAATAAATAATTGATTATTATTATTATTATTATCAGAAGGGGTTTTTGTGGAGATCTTATTAATATTATATGGTTGAAATCATGATTCAATTAAAGCTAGACTCCCATGGAAAATCTGGAAGCACTGGGTGACCGTTTCGTCCGTGCAAGACTGATAGGTCCTGGGTTCGAATCTTGCAAGGTGAGATCGTGAATGTGCACTGGCAAGGAGGAGTCCCATAATAGGACGAAACGGCCGTCAACTGCTTCCAGGTTTTCTCTGGTGGTCTAGCTTCAATTGACTCATGATTTCAACTATATATTATTATTATTTAAAGCAATTAGTCCCTTTACTGAATTTTAATAGTGTAATAAGGAGACGAAGATTATCAGAACTATATAATGAGATATCACTGCAATAAATTTCAAACAATCTGATCACACATAATATACTTGTTAAGTGTCAACTAGACTGGACCCTATAAGAGTAAAGGATAACCATCCAACATTCTCTATTACCAAACATATGATCGAAACAGGCTATAAGATTGATCTTAACTCGGATTTTGTGACGTTGTATAAAAAGGCATATACTAAAGTTCATTGAAGCCTTGACCATAAGAAAATTCCAACCTCCTTTGTGTTATTCATAGTTGAAATCATGATTCAATTGAAGCTAGACCACCATGGAAAACCTGGAAGCACTGGACGGCCGTTTCGTCCTATTGTGGGACTCCCTTCGTGTATTCAAAAACAATTTGTTCTCACCTTAAATCTACCCGGGCTATATTAGTTTATTAACGAGAGTGATTACGTTTCAAATTGTTTACACATTATTTTTATTATTATTATTGTTCTCCTTGTCTACTCTTACCCCCAACCACAATTTCCAGTCTAGTTGACCTTTATAAGTATTCCTAACAAGTATACTATGTGCGATCAGATTGTTCGAAATGTATTGCGCTAATATCTCATTACATAGTTTTTATAATCTTCGTCTTCTTATTACACTGTTGAAATTATTATTATTATCCACTCGGTATTGTTTACTTGAATCTTCCCATTGATGTTTACGACTGCAATTGATCAGTCTCTTATTGACCATATGTGAATCCTATGTAGACTACCTCGATGTTGTCTTAATTCACAAGTATTCTAAGCAAAGATGGATAGTGGCTAGCAGTGGAATCCATTTCGACGCGCGTTTCGTTCTATTTGGGGCTCATCATCTGGATATACCTGCATCTAAGAGTTGATATTCACTCTAGAACTCGAACTCAGTATAGTTCACTTCAAAAATTTTCATATTATCTACTTAGCTACTGAGTCCTCATAGCCACTTGCTTATGGAATAGTGTGAAATTTAAATTCACTTGGTATTGTTTACGTGTATCTTCCCATTGTTATTTACGACTGCAATTGATCAGTCATTTATTGGAATATGTGCATACTGTGCGTACTGTCTCAATACTGCCTTAATTCACAAGCATTATAAGCAAATATGGATAGCGGTTAGAAATGGAGTCCAGTTTGACACGTGTTTTGTCCTATATAGGATTCATCATCTTCATGTACCTGCATTTCAGAGTTGATATTCATTCTAAGACTCGAACTCGGTACCGTTCGCTTTAAACACCATTATGTAATCCACTTAGCTACTGTATCCTTATAGTCCCTTACTTGTATAATGGAGTGAAGTTTAAATTTACTTGGTATTGTTCAGTTGAATCTTCTCATTGGTGTTTATTATTATTATGAAATGAATAAATGACCTACACACACACACACAGATCTATATATTGATAAAGTCTTACCATATTAAACGTGAATACAACCAAGAATTGATAACTTCGGATATTGTCATGATTGAAGTATTGTAATGGTATTGTAGTGATAAAGTATACAGCATTTAAGGTCTATACAATTTTGTATAAAAGAGAATAGTATTACTATTGAAGATGAATTACCATTGTAATACATGTGAAGTATTTCCATAGATGAATAATTCGTAATAGTTGCATAGATTCATCATTTGGATATAAATAGAAATAACCCAAATATGATGAAATGGTATATAAAATAATAATAATTAAACGATATAGAATTATGTAATCACGATGGATTGGTTTAATTTTGATTGATTCCATTAGTTTTATTGATAATAATAATCTGAAAAATAGATATAAAAAAATATAAAAATCAGAAGGGGTTTTCCTTGAGATTTTAGTATTTTCATAGTTGAAATCATAAGTCAATTGAAGCTAGACTACTGAAAGCACTGGACGGTCCTTTCGTCCTATTATGGGATTCCTCAGTGGCAGTGCGCATCCATGGTCATGCACTCGCGTGACTCGAACCCAGACAATTGATGAACGGTTGCTCAAACATCGTGGATTAATTGAAGTTAAACAATAACACCGTTGGATACCGGCCGGCTTAGTGGTGTATCGGTTAAGTGCTCTGGCACGAGACTGGTAGGTCCTGGGTTCGAGCCTTGCGAGGCGAGATCATGGATGCGCACTATTGAGGTGTCCCAAAATAGAACGAAATGGCCGTCCAATACTCCTAGGTTTTCTATGGTGGTCTCGCTTCGATTGACTCATGATTTTAACTATGAAAATATAAGGATAATATTATAATGATATGATATAATGTTATCTTAAATTAGATGGATAATGGTAAGGCAGTGAAATTCAGTTTGATGCGTGATTTCGAACGAAATAACAAGCAGGTGGCTATCACGTGTCAGCAGCTAAGTGGATAACGCCAGAGCGTTTGAAGCGAACAGTACTAGGTTCGAGATCTAGAATGAATGCTCACTTCCACTGAGGAGTCCCATAATAGGACGAAATGGCCATCCAGTGCTTCCAGGTTTTCCATGATGGTCTAGCTTCAATTAACTCATGATTTCAACTATGAAGACTTCTATATATTTTATTAGAATGAGGATTCGTGGAGATTGTAGTAATTTTAATAGTGAATTCATTAGTAGATGTAAGCTAAACCACCATTGAAAACCTGAAAGCATTGGACAGCTGACTCATTGTAGTATGAGACTCCTCAACCGCGCATATGGGACTCCAACCCAGGACCATGGGGTCTCACGTGCAAACGCCTAACCTCTAAACCACTGAGATGTCTGGCATCGAATGGTGTTCCAGTCCAGTGTGTAAAATCGTTAACATGCACCAATTAAAGAGTCCTATACTAAGACAAAAAGGCTGCACCATGATGGCTATATCGGTGACGGAACTCAAGAGCCTTCCATTTCATGAAGTGACTGACATACATTTATATATATTTCAGTCTTATAATCATCATCATAATCATCATCATCATCATCATCATCATCGTCGTCGTCTTCTTCTTCTTCTTCTTTACCTTCAACAATGAAATCGATTAAAATTTTCAAATTTACTTTTCATAAAACAAACATCAATAAAAGCCGCCTTTCTTTCTTCAAAGAAAATAGATTGAATCTACACTTTATTAAATGAAGTGAATATCATATATATGTATATTTGTGCACTTCAACCCAATGAAGCCAACTAGGCAACATAATTATATAGATAATACAAACTTACAATTGTGATAGTACACTTACAATATCATATGACAATATGTAGTGCACTTAAAAGTCAATAAACAATTTGACTTTTTGCTTCTGTTTTTTTTTCTATTATCAATTCCGTTTTTGTTCCATTAATTTCTTTCATGTTTTTGTTTGCTTACTTCTTTACATTCGATCAATTCGACCCTTGAAGTTTATAGTGATTACATACTGTGAAAGATACATATAGTTGTATATAGCACTTTTGATGATATATTATAGATTAACTGTCTATATATGTATGATACCCATGGAATATGTGGCTATTAGTCGTCATCGTTGCTATTGTTGATAATCTTGATAAAGCTTATCTTGAAAGACATAACAAATGTGAATCAAATTGAACAAGTTTGTATTCAATAAAGAGGAAGGAAAGAATGTGGGGAGCGGGAGGATTTTCTATTTTCTATTTTCCCCAATTTGTATATGTTTACATTGTATGTTGATAGGTTTAGAATAGGATTCAAATATATTAAGATAGTATCACTATGGCATGTTTAAAGAAAAGTGTATGAAAAAAGGAAGAATTTGATGCTTATGAAAGTGTTCAACATAGTTCAGGTTAATGAACAACAAATTTTCATCAATATCTCCCGATTTATGTGTATTCAGTCAGTCAGTCAGTCAATCAGTTAGTCAGTTACAACGTAGAACTTCGTACGTACGTACATCAGTTCAAGTTGCCCTACCACATTAGTACAGAGATACAATTGTCGATTCAAATCCTATAGTGGTAGAAGTAGTAAGAGTATAAGCAGTAATGCGAAAGATTAGGGTTTGAAAATGTTATTCAAAGAGTATAATCCGGTGAAATAAATTTGAAAAGAGAAAAAGATAGAGACATGAAGAATTCAGCATATTAGAATTTGGCAGAATACAAAGAGTGGATGCACCTTCGCCATTGCAAACGATTTTGAGCCATGTCATTCAAGGTCTCTGACCATCGATCGCAATCATCTCACGAATCCCAACCAGGTAGTCTATACGTACCAACCTCGCTCAGTCCACTAGTCAGTGACTTTATGTATTTGTGCCACGTTTTGGTCTGGCCGTCACTAACTTTCTTCAAACCTACTCCTACACCATAAAACATCGCTCGTCGGGGTAGTCTGTAGTTGGGCATACGTAACGCATGTCCTAGTCATCTCAATTGATGAAGTTTCACTACTTCATCAATCGATTTGCCATCCTTACATTGTATCCGTTTCCTAACAACCGCATTACTTACTTGGTGGTCCCAGGATATACGAGCAATGCTTCGAAGACACCTATGATCGAACACTAGTAGCCTACAAATATCCTCTACTTCTATCAGTCATCTTTCACTGCCATAAAGTAGGACGGAACGAACTGCTGCACAGTAAATCCGTCCTTTGGTTGCTAGACGGATATCGCGACTACGCCATAAATGACGCAAGTTGGCAAAAGCTAGACGAGCCTTCTGTATCCGTGATGAGATTTTGTCACACACCAGACCACAAGGGCTGATGAAACTCCCAAGATAAGTGATGCAGTTAACACACTCAACTACTTCACTACTTATCATTAATTCAGGTGCCGATGCAACCCAATCCTGAAGTAATATTTTGCACTTCGAGGGATAGAATCGCATCCCGAACATGCTTAGGCTAAGTTTATATGTTTAATAGAGAGATCTATGTCAGTTTGTAATTTCTATTTATGAATATACAATTGTATTTACCATTGAGTATAAACTGGCAGTTTCATTCTTAGTAAATAGAATTTGATGAGGAAGAAGCGCTGGAAGTGTATAGGACACACAATGAGGAAAGCACCCAACTGCGTCACAAGACAATCACTCACATAGAATCCTGAATGCCAAAGGAGAAGTGGAAGACCAGAGAACACATTACGCCGACAAAATGGAGACAGACATAAGAAGAATGTACAACAACTGGATAAAACTAGAAAGGAATGCCTAGAATAGAGTGGGTTATAGAATGCTGGTCGGGGGCCTATGCTCCATTGGAAGTAACAGACGTCAGTAAGTAAGTAAGTAAGTAATTGAAAGTTAAATGTCTATGTCAGTACTTCTTGATCTACAATGGTTGTCTAATTAATAATCATTTCTGTATGTCAATCTATGATAAAGCTATTTTCATGAACAAGGTAAACATTGTAGAAAGTAATTACTTCTTGAATGTCTTAAGTAATCTTAGGTTGTTTTTTTTTGAAATTTTTTTTCCATTTTATCAGTCAAAGATCAATCAAATACAAACTAACTTAACATGAATGAAGTTCTTTATCAATGGAAATGATCTTTGCAAAAAAAAGTCTCTTAGCAACTATCTAAAGTGCATATCATTATATTAAGATCAGTTAATTATTTTGTAAAATCATAACCATGTACTAATATGTGATCCAAAGAATGAAGTTACGTAATCAAGCTTGAAGAAGCGATCGATCTTAAGGTTTATACTTTACATGGAAACTGATACTATAGTCAATGATGGTTTAACATCAATCGGTTCATGATCTCAGTCAGAAATATAATAATCTCCAGAAACCCATGATGATAATTACGGAAAACCTTCGTGAGGTAAATTCTTGGAGTTCTAACGAAAGGCAGGAGGAGACAGGTATATTAAAGTACATATACGATTTCCTACTTCAGAATATTAATATGGTTGGAACACTTCAAGGTATTCTTCAATAGACTAGCTCCATTGAATCCACCTAATATCGGAGCAGCACATATAGACATTCATATATATGTCACTTCACCAACGATCGAAGAAATCAGGATGACCATCAGATAAATCAAGAGCGGGGAAAGCAACAGGACCTGACGATATACCAGCTGAAGCACTGAAGTCAGACATTGAAGTAAAGGCAAACATACTTCACCTTCTATTTAGGAACATTTGCGAGGAGAAACAGGTGCCAACAGACTAGAAAGAAGGACACCTCATCAAGATACGAAAGAAAGGAGATCTGAGCAAATGTGAGACTTACAGAGGCATCACACTATTGTCGGTATCAGCAAAAGTTTTTAACAGAGTGTTGCTGAACCGGATGAAAGATGCAGTAGACACCCAACTTCGAGATCAACAGATTTGATTCCGTAAGAGTCGGTTGTGAACAGACTAAATCGTCGCACTGCAAATCATCATTGAATAATCAGTTGAGTGGAACTCGTCACTATACATCAACTTAAATGACTATGAGAAGGCGTTTGACAATGTGGAAAGGAGAACATTATGAAAACGTCTTCGACACTCTGGAGTACTTGTGAAAATCATCAGCATCATCCGGAAACCATACAACAGGGAGATTCACACAGAGATTGTAGTATTGACCAGTGTAGTTCAACCGGGTCTATTGTAAGTCATTAACTCGCTAAAGACAATGGAGGAAGATGTCGAAATTTCGTGCATCGGTTGAAGTTAAACACTGACACTGTTGGATGCTGGTCAACTCATTTGTCTAAAACTTAAACGTTCGTACACAAGACCCTGAGGCCCTGGGTTCAAATCCAACGTGCGAGATTGTGAATACTAACTATTAAGTATTCTC